GGCGAATCGTGCATGACAACGGCCCTCTATTTGTCAGTAATGCATTCATCAGATTTTGCGGGAAGTTCAGGATTGAAGACGTTCATCAACAGCATACAATCCTACTACAAAGGGATTGGCTGAGGCCTTTAACAAAATAGTCATAAAGATTGTGTCAAAGCTTGTGAAAACTAAAAAACGAGACTGGGATGACAAACTTGGCAAAGCTCTCTGGACCTATCGCACCACAGTCCACATGCCTGCTGGTGAAACCCTATATTATCTAGTGTATGAGTGTGAAGCCGTCCTCCCGTTAGAGATTCAAATTCCATCCCTGTGTATTGCTCTTGCAACAGGACTGACGATTGATGAACAACATCAAAAACGTCTTGAAGAACATGAGGCGTTAGATGAAAAGCGTCTAGAAGCTCAGCAGCAGATTTAGTTGTATCAAGCTAGTATCTCCAAGGCTTTTGATAAGAAAGTCTGACAATGGAGCTTTAAATAAGGAGACTTGGTCCTTGCCATTTGACGACCGATGATCCTCAATTCCAAGAAGAAGGAGAAATTCCAACCCAAATGAGAAGGGCCATTTGTGGTAGAATTGATTTACTCAAACGGCGCATATCACCTCATCACTCAAAATGGTGACAAGCTTATGATGCCAATAAATAAGAAGTTCCTTAAAAATTACTATCCTTAGTATGTTTGAGATAACCTATTTATCGGGAAGTTCCTGGAGAACGCTATTCACAGTGTTCTTAAGGATAACCCAAGATCCACTGACTATCCAAGATTAAAACTAATTGTCTTGATAAGTCATTCTTAATTACAATAAAATAATAATTAAGAACCTCCCGCTGTATTTTGGAGTCTTCTTTCGTCGGGATGAGATTTGATGACCCCATTCGATCAATCTTTCCTCACGAAACCCCCACAGTTAAGTTATAAAGTGCTTGATGACTTATGATCCTCCTGAAAAACTCTAATGCCACTAGGAAGTGCTCAGATACCAATTGAAAGAATCCTTGAGGGGGGTGAATAGGGTTTATGCTAATCTAATTCAATTTATTGCCAATTAAAAACTTACTAACAAATATTCTAGAAAATTAGATATGCAACACTTAATATGCAAGGATATGAAACTAAGGGTAATAGAAACACAAAGCAATATAAAAAAGACAGTGGACAATATAAACGAAGAGCAATTGACAATGGCGACAAAAATGTAATGAACACTAAGCACAAATAAAAAGCCAAAGCAAACTCAAACACAATCAAATAATCACGGAGTTGTGATCTTTCTTCCTAAGTCTCTGCTCCCTACTCCCAGAGAGAATCCACTACACAACCGGGTTTTCAACTCTCACCCGAATAACGTTTACACCATACAATATCAGTTTTCAACGCTCAACGATCAATGTTCATAATCACTCATAACGAACTACACAACTACCACCTCAAGTGTTGGCCTCTTACGTGTCTCCCTTAAGTGCTCTGAATTATGGCCTACCTCTAGGCATTACCACCAATCCTACTCCTCTTGGGACCAACCACGTCTCTCACCTCTACACTCCTCTTGGTGTATTTGTGCAATACAAAGTGAATCCTCACAATAAAGCTCATAAGTATAAATTTGTTCTCTATAATAGATGAGGACACAATGTAGGCTCACTCTTAAAGTTACACTCACTATATCAATGTTCACAAATTATACGTAAGCTCAATGGTTGTGTGTGCAATCAGTGTGAAAATAAAATCAAACTCAATTAAAGTCTAGCAAATATAAATATGATAATATAAATGTAAACAAGCTAGATAATTGTGTTGAGAAAACTTCTCTAGAACAAGAGAGATAGAGATGTAAAATTGAAAGCTTAAACCAAAGATGATCTTCTATTCTTGTGAAACAATCTTCACAAAACCAATTTTGTAAACAAACACTTAAACTAACTTAAACCACACTTAAAACTTATTTTTAAACTCTCTTTTCTTGGTTCAGAAGTAAAGAAGTATGGGATATATATATCTCTCATTTGTTTCTTGATTTAAAGTTCATACAAGTATTGATACCGGTATTGATACTAGTATCGATACTTGTATCAAAAATCTAACATGACATATGGCTTCGTCTTGTTGAGATAGGTTGTTTTTATATAATATATATTATATGTTAAATTCTGCCTTCTGGATTGAGAGATATCATTGTTTCTTTACGGTCAACTATCTTGAATATGATATTAGATTTTTGTTTTCTTCGGCTTTTGTAGGGTTCTTGGCTTGACCTTGAGCTTCAATAAAAGGTTATAAAATGAGGAAGTTAGAGTTTTTTGGGCTTTTATTTATTATTTCTTCATTAATCTGCAAATTAAGATAAAAACAATTAATAGTAGTATATTTATTCATGTAAAATAGATAATAAGAGTATAAAATTATAATAAAAATATGTTTATTAAATACCCCACACCTAAACTTTTGCTAGTCCTCTGCCAAGGAAAGAAAATGAAAGAGAAAGGGGAAAAAAAAAATCCTAACTCACTTTCGCAGGAATTATGGTTGTATTTAGCGTATACAACAAGCCTTTAAACAACTAGGTTCTCCTAGTGAACGAGTTATAGTCTCGTGAGGGTTTGCAGTATACCCACAAAATTCAATCAACTTGCCAAATTAAAGAAGCTAGTGAATAAGTAATTTACTCGATATATTTAGACATTCTAATTGAAGGTAGTTATTACTCAAGAAAACGTTTTTATATATAACTTTAAGGTAAATCTCCTAGAAAAGATTTTCATTATAGCTATACAAAACCAAGTCTAACTTAGAAATTTAATTTAAAAGTTTTAAAAAGAACATACTAATACTTTATTTTAAACAATTTTCAAGTCTCTTAATCAAAATCATTTTTTTCAAGACTATATATTATATATAATTTTACTCTTTATTTCTTGGTAATTTTTTCTACTTTATCAGGTTTTCTAAGTGACCATATAACGAGTTTTGGGCCAATGAATCACAACCCAATTGCACTTAGGTCATTAAGTATGGAAATACTCTTTGGGCTTAATTACTCTATTAACTTAGGCTTTATAAGATAGAATCACCTTGAATTCAAGAGTTATATATATACAGAGGATTTCTCATGCGCACTGATTTGTACGCATCTGGCTGAGATCGTCGAAAGCAAGGGTTTTTTTAGAAAAATGTCTGACAATTGCGTGATCCCATCTCGAGCTCGTGACCTCGAAAGCAGGGGTTTTTTGAAAAATTACAATGACAAAAAAGCCCAAAAATCGTCGTCCCTCGTGACCAGTCTCCTTATCAGCTTTAATCTCCTCCATTTCTCCATTTCTCCTCAATTTCTCCTCAAAAATCCCCATCAAAAAGCCGACTTCCCCCAGATCTCCTCCTCCATCAACAGATCGACTTTCCCAACTCGATCCCACCGCGAAAGAAGCATCACCGCAAACAGAAGAATATAGTACATGTATGGCTTTAATTAAGCATAATCTTCTAGCTTTTTTCTTACCTGGTAAATACTGGTAGTAGTGTCACATGGTCACACCACAAACACAACCAGTCTTAGGATTCTTTTTGCTTGTGCTTTAATCTTGTTATTGTGGAAGTCTTAGGATTCTTTGTGGTAGTGATTTTGTGTTGTAAGAGTGGAAGTGTCTCCGTCTTTGTATTTATTTTTTCCTGAGAGTGGAGTTGTTTGAAAGCTGAAGTAAGAGACAGAGGCAAGTTATAATAATATCTCCCTAGAAAAATACAACCAATATCCATTCAAGATCAGCATCCATCCAAAAATAGCCAAGCAGTGAACCAATTGCAAACATCATCCATCTCTTGTGCAAAAATCCCTATCTTCACTTGATGACCCATTACCCTCTTGCCAATTTGTATCACCGCATGTAGAAGACCTACATTATAATGAAAATATATATATATATACATCAAGGGGGATAATAGAAGGTGAAGAATAAGTCAACATAAATAATAAAAGAATTATTACTTACGGATTTGTGAATGCCGGACAATTTCGCTTATCATGTGATTGGCCTACTTTACCACACCCGTGGCAACGTCTATCTTTTTTAATTTTTGCTCTAGCCATTGCTTTCTCTTTTCCTCCCTTCAATCTTTTGCCGCACCCCTTTGCTCGCACTTGATCGGGTTCATTGAAACTATTTTGAAAAGTACAAGAATCCTGCACACCATCATCCATTAAATTACTACTCATTTGATTACTTTTCTCGGTGAAGCTCTTTGCAACCGTGCGGCCACTAACCATGTGGCTACTAAGAAATTGATCGATTTGCTCATTAATGATATGCACTCCATCGGTAAACATCTTCCTCGTTTCTTCAAATACAAGGGACTTGTCAACTAATTCCAAAGATGATTGGATAAATTGACTCCGCGTTAAAAGATAAGAATTAATTCCAAAGATGATTGGATAAATTGACTCCGCGTTAAAAGATAAGAATTGTCAGGGCTTATCTGCATACCTTTATCATCATCCACTGTCCCCGATTTTGCAGACTTAGTCCACCTCTTTAAGATGTATTTATCGGGCAATATTTCAGCATCAATTTTCATCAAATATGATATATTGTGCGTACATGGAATTCCGACGCTTTCGAACTTTTTACAACTACAAGAAACCAAATCCAAGTCCTTGTCGTAAACAATTTCGCGGACTTTACTTGTTGCGAGCTTCTTTCTTTGAATTTGATGCACACTCTGATTGTCAGTTGCCCTAACAAACTGTAACTTGTAGTTAAAGTTGTCACACACTTCAGCCTCAAACTTGTAATAGATCTCATTCATGTAAATATCAACCATTTGCTCCAAAAAATCATGATTTATTCTAAGTTTAGGTTTCTCAATTACATCTTTGTGATCGGCCATCAACTCTTCATGTCGTTGGCGCACTAATCTCCTGCCAAACTGTATCATAAAATCAACCAATGAATTATTCTTTGAAACAAATCTCTTGAAGAATGCATGTCCATTTCTGCTCATTGACTACTTGACATGTCTGCTGAGAAAATGTGATTAACATATGTAGGAATCCATCTTGACCGAAGTTCATATTGGTCTTGCAACCACTTGTTTCCTTCTAATCCACTTTTCTTAATCAGACTTTCCCATTGTAAATCAAATTCTTCAGGAGTCTCTGATTTCCAAATGCAAGCCGAGAACTCACTTTTATAAATACTATACTTCACTGCATCAATTTTCTCAGAAAACTTCATTAATATATGCCAACTACAATACCTGTCAAAAGAATTAAAAAAAGTGTTAAAAAGAAAGGCTATGTATATACATATTTTCAATAATATATACAAACTATAATACCTGTGAAAAGTGTTTGGAAGAACAAGAGGGAATGCCTTAGTCATCGTTGGGTCTTGATCGGTAATAATCATCTTCGGGGCACCACCAGGCATACTTTCCATAAATTGATTAAATAACCATACAAAATCATCAACGCTCTCATGATTCAAAAATCCACAAGCAAAAACAATTGTTTGACCATGATTGTTAACCCCTATTATTGGTGCAAATATAAGGCCATAGCGATTAGTGTTATAAGTAGTATCAAAGATTACAACATCACCGAAAAATTTGTAAGCCCGCCTTGATCTTGCATCAGACCAAAAACAACGAGTAATCTTTTGTTCCTCATCGGCCTCAATTTGAAAAGTAAATGAGGGATTCTTTCCTTGTTCTAATTTTAAATACTCATAAAACATTTCACCATCATGCCCCTTCAAATCAGCACGAATATCCCTTGCATGATTATACAAATCTCTTTGAGTGCACCCAATATTTTCTATACCTCCAAATTGTACTCCAAGTAAATTGAATTGTTGATGCTAAGGTATATTCACCATTGATAACTGTTTAGTTAGAGACTTTGTTGCGGCTGAAACGTTACGATGGGACCTTAAAAGATGAACCTTTGATGGTGTTGATAGTGGGTGGCTGTGCTCCTCATTAAAAACAGTAACAATGTATTTTCCGGAGTTTAATTTTAAAACAGCAATTTTGGCAGTACAATCCTCAGCTAAGCTTCCTCGACGTCTTTTCTTTCCAACATCCACGATTTTTAGAGATTTTCCTTGTTTAAAAAAAAACATACTCCTTCCTTCTTATTTCACAACTTCCCAGCTCTTTCTGAGTAGTCCAAGACCTTACACTAAACCCAGCTACTTTAGCATAAGCATTATAGAATGTCACAACATCATCTATTGTGTCAAATTCTTGCCCTTTTTTTGGCCTCAACTCATCTGATACTTGAGGAGTATATATCAAATCATCGTCATCCAAGTTTACTTCATTAGCTTCAGTGCCCAAGTTATCCATTCTGCAATTAACCATGTTAAAAATATATGCAGATTAAGATGCAGCAAGTTTTGCATACTAACAGGTTTGATTTTGATGGGGGTGATTAAGGCATTAATCTCTCAACTGTAGAACAATAATGAAGGAAAAAATAGTCCAAATTTCTTTTACAACATGTTTACAGCTATCTCACTGTATATATCCAAATTTCTTTGTTGGTTGGAATTTCCAACAATAGTAAAACTGTAAAACTGAACAAACTTGATCTGATAAAAAATGGTGTACAGAAGTATCAATTTGACCTGTCTAGAATCCAATACTTCCATACATATATGCAATATGTGTATGCTATATTTGGATGCTTGGCCTGTCTAGACACAAATGTGAAATTATTGAATTTCCCCATCCTGATCTTAAGGTTAAGGAATTATTCCAGTTATCTGAATAATATCCTTATAGACTATATTGTGTCTCAACAAATATGAGCTGAATAAGCTTATTAATGTGCTATGTGTGTGATCACATATATGCTAAATTTTTGTTCTCATATAGATTTATTATTTTGCTTTCTTAACCAAATAGAAATGGGATTGACCCTCCTCATTTTCTTGGTAGTTTCAAACCAACTGCTTTTGTTGGCTATTTTCCCACAAAGTGAAATAAGTTAGATTTTATTTCTATTTGTTCCATTTCAAGCATCAAATCCCTAGTTCTTGTAATCAATCTATAATTCCTAAAAAAAGACTGACAAAAACCCCAGAGATCTAACAGACTAAAAGATTTTGTGCTATTGAAACAACTGTAATAAAAAAAACCTAATCAAAACCTGTAACGAGCTTGGAATGGGCATGATCCTTACCTGAGTTGGGGGAAGGCGGTGGCTTGATGGAGGAGGAGAAATGGGGATCTTGAGAGAGCGCTCGAGCTCAAGACTGGATCGACCGCCCTCGGCGGTGATGCTGCTTTCGCGGTGGGATCGAGTTGGGAAAGTCGATCTGTTGACGGAGGAGGAGAAATATGGGAAGTCGGCTTTTTGATGGGGATTTTTGAGGAGAAATTGAGGAGAAATGGAGAAATGGAGGAGATTAAAGCTGATGAGGAGACTGGTCACGAGGGACGACGACTTTGGGGCTTTTTTTGTCGTTGTAATTTTTCAAAAAACCCCTTGCTTTCGAAGTCACGAGCTCGAGATGGGATCACGCAATTGTCGAACATTTTTCTAAAAAAACCTTTGCTTTCGACGATCTCAGCCAGATACGTACGCATCAGTGCGTATGTATATATATATATATTTCTTCTTCTTTTTTTATTTTATTTTTATTTTTATTTTTGCTATAACAGAACAAGAAACTCTCAAATGAGAGAAGAAAATATTTTTTATTATTACAAAACACAAAAATATAGAATGAAAGATTTAACATGAAAAGCTCATACTCTATATTAAATCCTACCTTATTGCTAAAAATTCTACTCCTGATATAAAAAAATCTAAAATGATATAATCAATGATGTGTTTAAATTATGCATTCTCCGAAGGTTTCAATAATTTTTGTAACAATTGAAGGTAGGCAACATTGGTGTTATGCATTTTGAATTTCTTATTGAACTTAAATTCTTTATTTGTGAAGGGTTGTCCTCTAACAACCAGCTCTTCTTTAAAAAAATTTTAACCCCAAGATTCATGGTTGAGGTATGAAAGTTTAGTTGTTGTTTGTTTTTAAAGAATCTAAGTTCATCAAAAAAGAGTTCTTCAAAAGTTGGGTTAAAAAGGCATGTATTTAACATAGTTTCCTTGTTTTGAATGACCTGATTTGATTTTTCTAATATCTTCAGCTCCTCATCAAAGATTTCCTCAAAAGAAAGACCTCACTCATTCTCTTCTCCTTCTATTGGTCTTTCCTGAATGTAATTTATTTCTAGAGGTTGATCATTTGGTTGGTTCCTTGGATTAAAAATGTTGGGATCAGCAGTAAAATTCCTTAAAATAGCTTTATCTGACTAGTTCTACAGTTGATGAGAACATTAAAAGTGGCTAAGAACGGTCTTCCTAAGATGACAGATATTTTTCCTTTGGGATTGGAAACAAGCTGTGTTTCCAAGACCATGAAATCCACAGAAAAAATAAAATCCCCAACCTTAATCAGAACATCCTCTATCTCACCCATGAGGACTTTGACAGATCTATCAGCTATCTGCAATGTGCATCTGGTTGGCTTTAATTCACCTACACCTAGTTGCAGGTAGACTATATAAGAAAGCAAATTGACACTAGCCCCTAAGTCCAAAAGCGTCTTATCAATGTAGGTATTACTAATGACACATGAAATGATTGAACAACCTAGATCTTTATTTTTTAAAGGTATGAGCTTTGAGAGCATATCACTAATATTGATAGTCAAAAATACTTTCTTTAGAACATTTATTCTTCTCTTTTTAGTACACAAATCTTTTAAAAATTTTGTATAAGAAGGGATTTATTTGATTACATCTAAGAGAGGAATCTTGATCTTAACGTGCTTGAAAGTTTCTAGGATCTTCTCCTCCTGAGGGGAGTGTTTCCTAGGCTTGACTTTATCTGGGAAGGGAGCAACTGGTTTAAACCTATCAAAATTAGGCTTATGTTCGGGTTCGGGTTCTTGGTCATTGGAAAGGGATGATTTCTGAATAGACTTATCAGAAAGAGAATGAATTTATTCTGGTTCAAGAGTTTGACTTAGAGGTGTTCTAACTTGATTATCAACTTGTCTTCCTAACCGTAGTGAATGGATTGCATTTAATTGAGCTTCGTAGGATGAATTAGATCCTGTGTCCTTAGAGTTGACCACGGGTTGACTCGAAAATTTTCCTTTCTCTCTTTCACTCATGGCACTAGCTAGTTGACCAAGTTGAGTTTCTAATCTAGCTATGGCTTGAGTGTTGGAGTTGAGTATTTGTCCGATTGATTGCATAAAGGAATTCAAAGTGTTGGATGTTTGAGTCAATATATTTATTGTTTGTGTAGAGGTCTTGATTATGGTTTCCAAACATTTTCCCAAAACATAGAGACGTTTATTATGATCCGAATTTTGTGGAGTGTTATTTATAGCTTGATGATGAGGAGACTGATTTAGATATGGAAGATTTAGTTATTGAAAATTGGGTTGATAACTGAAAGGAATTGTGTTTCCCCTAGGATATTAGTGGTTTGAAGAGGGAGCAAAGTTTTGATTTCTGGAGTAGATTCTCTAAATCCATACAAAGTTTGGGAGATTTCTACAACTTGGATTGTAGTTTGGAGAAAATGGATCATTTACGGAATCCTGGAATGCAGTGTTAATCTGTCCTAGTGGTTGATTGTTTTCTAAGAGAGGACATTCCTCTCAAACATGGGCAGAAGAAAGACAGTTGTGACAACCTGAGGTAGAAACTTGATTGATTTGAGATGGGGCTCATTTTTTGATTTATAGAGCTTCTAACCTACACATAATTGTAGTCACCTTTGCTTCAGAGGCAATGTTTATCTCTAGGGACAGACCATTGGATTTGGGTTGGGGAATTGATGAAACTCTGTGATCACAGTGTTCCCTTCCATAGTTTTTTCGGATAAACTCTCTAAAAATTCCCAAGCTTCATCGGTATTTTTCAACATGAAATCCCCTTGACATATTAATTCTAAGGAATTTTTTAAAGAATAATCTAATCCTTCATAAATGATTTGGCATAATCGCTATTTCTCAAGACCGTGGTGAGGACATTGGATAAGAAGATCCTTAAATCTATCAAAATACTTCTAAAATTGCTCACCGGGGATAATTTTGAAATTCATAATGTTGTTTCTAAGCTTAACCGTTTTGTGGATAGGGAAATTTTTTTAGAAGAATGTTAACAAATTTATCCCAAGTTGAGATAGAATTTGTGGGTAAGCTATACAATCATTTCTTGGTTTTGTCCTTAAGAGCGAATAGAATAAGTTGAAGCTTTATCGCATCCTAATATAGTTCCTTAATTTTTATCATAAGACAAACTTTCTCAAACTCGGAGATAAAGATATAAGCGTCTTTGGCTTCATTTCCTAAGAATTTTGGAAGCATATTTATGTAATGCGATCTAAGCTCAAAATTAGTCCCATTGACTTTGGATAGCTTAATGCAAGATGAGAATGCATTCCTATGGGTAACACATATCTCGAAGAACCGGTGAATTAGGTGTGACACCCTTATTATCACACATGGTTGTAGTCCAAGGTGAATCCATAGATTTCAAACCTGCCATGCACCCACACTATATAATAACATACCAATCACAGTAATATCCTCTAGTGGAATAACAAAGAAGTGTAGGTACAAAACAGGCAAAATAAGGTAAATAATTACAATAGACATGATATAGAAGGATAAATCTCATAAATAAAACCATGTCTCAAATGAATAGAACTATAAACACCTGATCTCTGAAATAATATAAAATATCTCGACATGAATCAACTGGAAATATAACTAAGGCTCATAGCCTTTACAAAACGAAATACAACTCAAAAAACTGCATGGAAACATAAATCTACTGTGGAGCCTCTACTGATAACTTATGCGACGACGACTATGCAAGAGATTTGTCATCCTGCGGCTCTCTGAAACTTTGAGTTGCCTGAAATTTTTTTTTGAAACAAAAAGAATAACAATAAGAGCATCAGAGTGGTATAGTAAGATCACCTTCATCCGCCCCCAGGGGAAGGGCAGCTAGATGAAGTAGAGACTCTACTTATTAAGCATAGTCTACCTAGATCATTGTTTTCGTATCTAATAAAGTTAATATTTAGACACCTAAAAGATGAGATGTAGTACGTCGAGTGAAATAATCCAAACAAGGAAACCCTCATGTATATACCATATGTCTTAAATTGTAGATGCCTAAACATTAACACCGAACTAGAGAAAAACAATCTAAATAAAATCAATAATTAGAAACCCGCAACACGAGACTGGTACGTCGAGCGAAATAATCCAAACAAAGAAACCCTCATGTATATACCATATGTCTCAAATT